CCCAAAACTGCTACCAAGAAGCCCACAAACTGTCTCCCAGAGGCTCCTGAGAGGCCAACCGCGAGATCCCAACCAACATCCAAGAGATCTCTTGCCCATTACCCAGGCCCGCGGCGAGATTGCCCGCAGGCCACTACAGCCGGTTCGGGGGCCCTACATATCCCAGCACCCGCACCCTTGGCTGTATCGATGCAGGGCCTTGGGGGGCCGAAACCTCGGGAAACTCAGATCGTCTTGGGCGGTGTCCAAGGCCTTGGGGTACGTGTGGGGGCCAATCGTGGCGCAGTGGAATGGCCAGAACCTTCGGATTTTCGCTAATCGCAGAGAGGCCGGGCGCGATTAGCGAAAACCCTATGTTTTTTGAGACTTCCACGCCCGGCCTCAATCGGTTACGATAGCCCTCTTGGGTCGGGCGCCTCGTGGGGCGACTTGGGACAATCTTGGGGGTGTGAGGCCGTCTCGGACCTCGCGTTGGGCTCCCGTGGGCGGCATCTGCGGCTGTGCTGGGCCCTGCTGGGGGTCACTTGAGGCTTCGGCGACACGTGCGAGTTCGGGACCAACGCCTGGACCTGCGGGCCGTGGATTTTCCATGGGTTCACACTAGTCTCTACTACATTGCAGGGCCCAGTGCGTACCAGAAGGGCGCAGGATCAAGTGACCAATAATCGCCCCGGGCTGGCCCCGGGCAGCCCCGGGAGGCCCCAAGACACGCCAAGGGGGCCCCAAGAGGCCCCCAAGACGGCCCCGGAGGGCCCCGGCACGCCCAGCGAGGGGCCCAAGACGCTCGAGATTGGCCCAAGACGGCTCCAGAGGCCTCCAAGACTCCCCCAGAGGCCTCCCAAGAGGCGTCCCAAGAGGGCCCCGAGCGGCAGAAACCGTCGATTTCCATTGTGTTTTTCGATGGCTCCGGCCTCCTCGCCTTTTCGGCTTCCCGACGCTCCAAGACGGCCCAAGACGTCCCCCAGACCGCTCCAAGACGGCCGAAGAGGACCCCAAGAGAGCCCCAAGACGGGCCAAGAGGGCCCCAAGACGGCCCCAAGACGGCCCAGGACGGCCCCAGGACGGCCCAGGAGGCGCCCAAGACGGCCCAAGAGGCACCCAATACGGCCCCAGGAGCGGCCCAAGACGGCCCAACAGAGCCCTAGAGGCACCGAAGCCGGCCTCAGACGGTCCCAAGACGGCCCAAGAGGCACCCAAGACGGCCCAAGAGGGCTCCAGAGCCCCCCAGGAGACCCAAAAGAAGCCCCCTCGAAAGGGCCCCCACGAGGCCCTAAGTGGCTTCAGAAATGCCTCCACGAGGGGGTGAGCGGACGAGAGGCGACAGGCATATCGCGGACACAAAAGAGGCGTCTTCGACGCTCCCAGGGCCTTAGATGTTTGTCTCATGGGGAGCGCCGTCGGACCTCCGAACTTGGATCCTCGAGGCTCCACGCTCGAGGTCCTCCGTGACGCGCTCTTCAAACGGAGGCTCCCAAGAGCGAGCCGCAACGTCAAGATCTCTGAAATCCACAGCTCCCCAGAGCGAGCGGTGACGCAACCAGCCCTTTACGCCGAGGCCCGGTCCACGGGATCGCCCGAGGAAGAGCTACATGATGATCGGCTAGGTGGACCACTAGCGCAGGCGCGCCTCGCGCCTCTGCTGCTTCGACCGCTGTTGTTTTTACCGCTGCTTGCCATCGTCGCCGCGGCTGCTCCCGCTGCTGCCGCTCTCCCTAGGACGATAACCGCAGCCAGTCGACCAATTCGAAGGCCGGCAGCACAGGAGCAAGCGCCCCCAGAAAATGCGGAGGAATGCGGGGACGCCGAAAGACAACATGTCCACACACACACACACACACACCGCCCCCTCCAACCTCCCCCCCCCGCGAGGCCCCCGAGACGCTCCACTTCCACGTCCACGCCATGGCGGGCAGATTCCGCGGCCGGAAGGCCGCGGGTCAGCCCTAGTCTCTACTACATTGCAGGGGCACGTGCGTGCGGGAAGGGCGCAGGCTCAAATGTCTCAAAACCGCCCCGGGCTGGCCCCGGGCCGCCCCGGGCCGCCCAGGCAGGCCCCAGGACATGTCGAGAGAGCCCCCAGAAGCCCCCCAGACGGCCCCGGAGAGCCCCGGCACGCTGAAAGATGGGCCCAAGACGCCCGAGATTCGCCCCAGGCGGCCCAAGAGGCGTCCGAGACGCCCGAAGAGGCCTCCCAAGAAGCCCCCCAAGAGGGCCCGGAGCGACAGAAATCGTCGATTTCTATTGTGTTTTTCGATGTTTTCGGCCACCTCGCCTCGTCGGCTTCCCGACGCTCCAAGACGGCTCAAGAAGCCCCCTCGACCGCTCCAAGACGGCCGAAGAGGACCCCAAGAGAGCCCCAAGACGGGCCAGGAGGGCCCCCAGACGGTCCCAAGACGCCCCAGGACGGCCCCCGGACGGCCCAGGAGGCGCCCAAGACGGCCCAAGAGGCACCCAAGACGGCCCCAGGAGCGGCCCAAGACGGCCCACGACAGCCCAAGAGGCGCCGAGGCGGGTTCCAGACGGCCCCAAGACGGCCCAAGAGGCACCCAAGACGGCCCGAGAGGGCCCTAAGAGCCCCCCCGGGAGGCCCAAACGAAGGCCGAAGAGGCTCCGAAACGGCCCCCACGAAGCCTTCAGTGCCTTCAGAATTCCCTCCAGGAGCGGGGGAGCGGACGAGAGGCGACAGGCATATCGCAGGCCAAAACGCCCCAAGAGATCCCCAAACGGCCCCCACGAAGCCCTAAGTGGCCTCCGAATTGCTTCCAGGAGGGGGGGAGCGGACGAGAGGCGACCGGCATATCGAAGGCACAAAAGAACAATGTTGGACGCTCCGAGGGCCTTCGATGTTTCTCCGTTGGGGAGAGTCGTCGTAGGATCGACGATTGCCGACCGAGGGCAGCGAATCCAGTGGAGGCCCAAGAGGCCCCCAGGAGCCCAAAAGAGATCCCCAAGAGGTGCCACGGGGCTTAAAAACTGCTTCGAAGCGAGGGGGGCGGACGAGGGGACCGCTTCAGGAGGTTTTGGATGGTTTTGGGTCTCAAAATCGTCCGCTGCACGACGGTTTTGGAAGGATTTTGGCCTTCTCGCCGTTTCCGCTTTCCGACGCTCGAAGACGGCCCAAGAGGCCTCCAAGAGCGCCCCAGAACGGCCCAAGAGGTTTCCAAGAGCGCCCCAAGACAGCCCAAGAGGGCCCCAAGACGACCCAAGAGACGCTCAAGACGGCCCACGAGGGCCCGAAGACAGGCCCAAGAGGGGGCCAAGAGGGGGACCACGGACCGAAAATCCGAGCCTTCCGCCCCAAGAGGGCGCCAGGAGGCCCAAACAGGCCCCCAAGAGGCCCCAAGGGGCCGCCAAGAATCCCCCGAAGAGGCCCCAGGAGGCTCCCAAGGAGCCCAAACGAGGCCCCTACAGAGGCCCCAACAGCTTCCAAAATGGCCCCGAAGAGGCCTCGAGCCCGCCTCCGAGCTTCCTCGCCGCGAGGGTGCCAACATGGCCCCAGACCGGCCCAGGACGGCCCAAGGCGCGCTCAAGACGGCCCAAGACGATTCCAAGACGGTCCCAGGAGGGTGCGCCCAGGACGGCCCAAGGACGCGCCCGTTCGGGGCCTCAAGACGGGCCAAGATGGCAAGAGAGTCCCAGCTGGCAAAAATCGTTCATTTTCCATTGTTTACTGTTACACCCTTTGCGTTTCCCGCCGTTTCCGGCGGTCCGATGCACCAAGAGGCCCCAGAAAGTCCCAGGAGGGTCCGAGGAACCGCCCAGGAAGGCCCCAAGACGGGCCAAGACGGACCCAGCACAACCCAAGGCGCGCTGCGACGGCTCAAGACGGCTCCAAGACAGCCCCAAGAGGGTGCCAACACGGCCCCTGCTGGGCCCAGGACGGCCCAAGGAGGCGCACAGGAGGGGCCCAAGACGACTCCAAGGCGGCCTCCTCACGGTCCCAGACGGCTCCAAGACAGCCCCACGAGGACCCCGATGGGCCCAGGACGGCCTACGGACGCGCCCATGAGGGGCCCACGACGAACCAAGACGGCCCCATCAGGGCAAACGGCGCCCTCAAGACGGGCCTAGACGGCTCCAAGACGGCCCTTTGAGGGAGCCAACGCGGCCCCACACCCTTCGGGCGCACACTTGGGGGGGCTGGGAGCTTGCGACAAGTCTCCCACATTCATTGTCCTGCCCCATTCTGTTCGCCTGGAGGCCTCCTCCAACCCTGTGGGCGAACAAGAGGAATCCCAGCGGGACGCCAACCCTGGGGCCCGTGGGCCCCGCGCCGCTTGGGCAGAAGACGAACGCCGGGTCTGACAGGCCAGCTACCGCCCCCCTTTGCCCGATATGCTGTGCCATTCTGTTCCCCCAGGGGCCTTGGCAAACTCTTCGGGCCAAGCAGACCGGACCCCTGGGACAGCAGCCAATTGATATGACCCTGGGACCTCTCCGCATTCTTCGGACGAGCATCTGGGGGGCCCAGGAGATTCGGGCATGTCTTCCCCATTCCTTGCCCTGTCCCGTTCTGTTCGCCCGAAGGCCTCCACAGACCCTCTGGGCGAACAGAATGGGACATGGCGAACAAACCCTCCCGTTGGCGGTGACGCGACTGGATCGCACCATCAAGGCGCGCCCGGAGGTGATGGCCGACCCAACAGCGGTTTCTCTTAAGAGTTCACTGGATTTCAATTTGTCTTGAAGCTCTCTTGGGCCCTCCCTGTGGATCCTTGCGAGCCTCCCCGGCGCTTGGGGTGGCTTTCCCCGATGGCCTCCCGAGCCCTTCCCCGAGCGCTCCTGAGACGCCTCAGATGGGCTTCGACTTCGACGCACATCCCCGAAAGACTTCGAAACTGTCCTCAATGGGAGGGGAGTGAACGAGCAGCGCGCTGGGCCAAGCTGCTGCAGCGCTGCAAGAGCTCGGACACGAAGGCGCGGTCTCGCTGCCGCCGCCCGAGCCGCCGCCGTGTTTGTAGATTTTCGGTACAATCACGGAGTCCACGGGTCAGCCCTAGTCAGCTACAGCGCTGGGATCAGCGCGTGCGAGAAGGGCGAGCAGTGGCAGCCGGCGCTGGCGCTGTTGAGCGAGATGCGGGAGGCGAAGCTGGAGCCCAATGTCATCTCTACTACCTACATTGCAGGAACATGCACGCGCGAAAAGAAGGTGCAGCGCGGGCGTCCCCGTGCGCGTCCGGGTGGCTTCGGCCAGCTCCAGGGCGTGTCCGGGCGGCCCCGGCCCATGAGCGCTCCAAGACGCCCCAAATTCTCCAAAACGCCTCCGCAGCCCCAAGGTGACACCCTGAGCGCTCCAAGAGTCCTCTCCAAGGGGCCCCAGAGGCCAGAATCGTCGATTTCCTTTGGTTTTATACGGATTTGGGCATGCTTGCTTTTTCGTGATTTTGGCATGCTTGCTTGTTCGTGCTTCCGACGCTCCAGGCGGGCCCCCGAGGCCGCCAGGATCACCCCTAGACGGCTCAAGATCGCCCCAAGACGGCCCACGAATATCCGAGGGGCCCCAAGAGGCTCCCAAGACGGCCTCAGGTAGCCTCAAGAGAGCTCCAAGACGGTCCAAGGCCTCCCGGACGCCCCGTGACGGTCCAAAAGGCCCCAACACGTTCCAAAACGCTCCCAGAGCAGCCCAAGAAAAATTTCAGAATGGCCCGAAAAAGACTCCACAAGGACCACCAAGCAGGCCCAGAGACGCCCACTAAAAGAGCGAGCGATCGGTGAAGTACAAAGCTCTTCTCACCAAGGCTCCCAAGAGCGAGACGCAGCGTAGAGGGCTCCCCCAGGCACAGCTCCCAAGAGCGAGCGGTGACGTCGGGACACCCTTCCGACCTCTCACACAGGAGCACGCACGCACAGCACGCACGCACAATAGATTTCCTGGGCTGTCCCCCAGAAGAGGCTCGGGGGGACAGCATGGGAACGGCCCCAGAGGCGCCCCAAAAACCTTCAAGAGAAAAGGCCCCCCGGAGGCCGCAAGACGGCCCAAGAGGGCCCCAAGAGGCCCCTAGGAGGCCGCAAGACAGCCAACGAGGCCCCAACAGGCCCCCAGGAGCTCGAAAAGAAACCCCGAGAGGCCCACTAACCGTTCCAGCGCCCGCCATCAGGCTTCGAAGAGGCAACCGGAAAAAAGTTACCAGAGCCCTCCGGGTAACTTTTTTCAAGGCCCCAGGTGCTTTCAAAATTGACTAGCGGCGAGACGTACACCGCAGACCCATCATAACCGTCTGTGACGCTCCGAAGGCTGTCTAGGCGCAGGTAGAGCGGAAGGCGGACGAAGAGAAGGAAGCGATCCAAGAGGGCCTCCGAAACGACCCAAGACCGCTCGAAGACGCTCCAGACGAGCCGTGGCAAACGAAATCATTAATTCTTCCATTATTTCTGAAAACGAAACAAAAAAACAAAAAAACAAAAAAAACAAAAAAAAAAAAAAAAAAAAAAAAAAAAAAAAAAACCTTCTCGCCATTTCGAGCGAAGACAGGCCCAATACGGCCTTTTCGAGCCAAGACTGGCCCAAGATGACGTGGACGAAGTCCACGGGTTCGCCCTAGTCTCTTCTCTATGGCAGACGGAAGCGCGTGCGAAAAGGTCGTGCGGTTTGCCCTCCCTGGAGGGCCATCTTTCGACACCCATCACGCAGATCCTGGCCCCCGAGCGTCACAAATCGAGCCCACCCCCAAAGACGCGCCGAAGTGGCCATCAGAGGCTCCAAGGAGCGTCCAAGAGGCCCCCTAGTGGCCCCCAACAAGGCCCACGAGGCCCCCGAGAGGACCCCACCAGGGCTCTACAGGCCTCCAAGCGATTCCAATATAGGCCCCCAACAAGGCCCACGAGGCCCCCTAGAGGACCCCACCAAGGCTCTAGAAGCCTCCAAGAGACTCCAATGGTCCTCCGAAGCATGTCCCCAGAGGCCACAATCCTTCATTCTTCCATGGTTTTTGAAGGAATTTTGCCTGCTCGCCTTCTCGGCTAGCCGACGCTCCACGACGGCCAGAGAGACCCACAAGACCGCCCCAGGACGGCCCAAGAGGCCTCCAAGCGCGTCCCCAGACGGCCCAGGGAGCCCCAAGATGGCCCAAGAGGCGCCCAAGACGGCCCCGGAGGACCCCAAGGCAGGCCCAAGAGAGGGCCAAAGCACTGGGAAAAACCTTGACACTCCGAGTCTTGGGCCCCCATAAGCCCACACAAGGCCCCAAGGCCCGCCCAAGAGGCCGCCAAGAGCCTCCAACAGTACCCCGACGCATGCCCCCAGAGGCTAAAATTCTTCATTTCTCCATGGTTTCGGAAGGAATTTTGCCTCATCGCCTTCTCGGCTAGCCGACGCTCCACGACGGCTGGAGAGACCCACAAGACCGCCCCAGGACGGCCCAAGAGGCCTCCAAGCGCTTCCCCAGACGGCCCAGGGAGCCCCAAGATGGCCCAAGAGGCGCCCAAGACGGCCCTAGAGGACTCCAAGCCAGGCCCAAGAGGGGGCCAAAGCACGGGGAAAAACCTTGACACTCCGAGTCCTGGGCCCCCATACGCCCACACAAGGCTCCAAGTCCCCCCCAAGAGGCCGTCAAGAGCTTCCAACAGTACCCCGAAGCATGCCCCCGGAGGCCAATATTATTTATTTTTCCATGGTTTTTCAATGAGTTTTGCCTGCTCGCCTTCTCGGCTGGCCGACGCTCCAAGACGGCCGAAAACACCCACAAGACCGCCCCCAGGACGGCCCAAGAGGCCTCCAAGCGCGTCCCCAGACGCGCCCAAGACGGCCCCAGAGGACCCCAAGCCAGGCCCAAGAGGGGGCCAAAGACCGGGGAAAAACCCTGACACCCCGAGCCCTGGGCCCCCATACGCCCACACAAGGCCCCAAGACCCTCCCAAGGGAACGCCAAGAGGTCCCCAGAGGCCCCCAAGAAGCCCAAAGCAAGCCCCACAACGGCCCCAAGAGGCCCCAAAGCTGCCTCCAAGAGGGACCCCAGACGCCTCTGAGCCATTACACAGGCACGGTGGCGGATTTCGCCGAAGGCCATGATGCGTGCCAGAAGGTCCTCTGTCTTGAAATGTCCGCCAGGCTCTCCAGGCCGCCCTGCGAGCCCCCAGGCCGCTCCGAGACGGCTCAGAAACGCCCACGAGGGCGCTCGGACAGACTAAGAGGGACCCAACCGAGCCCCAGGTCGGCCCCAGAGGCCTCCAAGGCAGGCCAGGAGGCTCCCTAGGCGCCCCAGGAGGACCCCCAGGAGGGACCCAAGAGGCAAAAATTTGCCCCTACCCTTCGGAAAACGTACATTTTGATATGCTCGCTCTTTTGGTCTTCACCGCGCCCAAGACGGCTATACAGGCCTTCCCGATCGCCCCAAGACGCCCCCAGAGCACCCCAGGAGGGCCCCCAAACGGCCCGAGGCGGGCCCGCGACGGCTCCAGAGACGCCCTAGACGGCCCAAGAGGCAACCAAGACAGCCCAAAGAGCGGTCAATAACAGCCCAAGACGGCCCCAAGACGGTCCGAGCTGCGCCCAAGACGGCCCCACACGGCCCCACGACGGCCCAAGAGGTACTCAAGACGGCCCAAGAGGGACTCAAGGGATTCCCGGGAGGCCAGAAAGAGGCCCCCAAACGGCCCCCAAGAGGCCCTGAGTGGCTTCCACCTTGCCTCTATGAGACGGGGGTCGGACGAGAGGCGAGGGCCGGACCGTATGCCCACAAGAGCTGTTTTCAACGCTCTGGGGCCCTTCCATGCTTGTCTTTTGGGGAGCGGTCCAGAGCGCCCCGGAGCGCTCCGGGAGCCCGTCGGGCGCAGGACCCTTGGAGGCTCCCCAGATGGCGCCATGAGGGCCCCACACGGCATGAGGGCCCCAGACGGTCCTTGCACGCTCCGGGAAGCCCCACAGAGCGTCCACGAGGCCACTCAAATGGGCACGACACGACCCAAGCGAGCGCCAAGGCGCTCCGAGAGGCCTCCAAAAGGCCTCACAAGAGGGTCCCGAGAGGTCAAAATCGTTTGTTGTCTTAGGCTTTTCCAAAGATTTCCCGCTTGCCGCCAATTCAGCTTTCGGACACTCGAAGCAGCCCTGGAAGACTTCAAGACCACCCCAAAAGGACCCAAAACGCCCCCAGGAGGCTCCCAGGAGGGCCCCAAGACGGGCCAAGACCGCCCCAGCACGGCCCAAGGCGCGCTGAAGACGGCCCAGGACGGCTCCAAGACGGCTCCACGAGGGTGCCAACACGGCCCCAGACGGGCCCAGCACGGCCCAAGGCACGCTCAAGACGGCCCAAGACGATTCCAAGACGGTCCCAGGAGGGTGCCAACACGGCCACAGATCGGCCCAGGACGAGCCAAGGAGGCGCCCAGTCGGGGCCTCAAGGCGGGCCAAGATGGCAAGAGAGCCCCAGCTGGCAAAAATCGTTTATGTTCCATTGTTTATTGTTACAGCATTTGCGTTTCCCGCCATTTCGGCGGTCGGATGCCCCAAGAGGCCCCAGAAAGTCCGAGGAAACGCCCAGGAAGGCCCCAAGACGGGCCAAGACGGCCCCAGCACAACCCAAGGCGCGCTGCGACGGCTCAAGACGGCTCCAAGACGGCCCCAAGAGGGTGCCAACGCGGCCCCTGCTGGGCCCAGGACGGCCCAAGGAGGCGCACAGGAGGGGCCCAAGACGACTCGAAGGCGGCCCCAGACGGCTCCAAGACAGCCCAAAGATAGTGCCAACAAGGACCCCGATGGGCCCAGGACGGCCTACGGACGCGCCCATGAGGGGCCCACGACGAACCATGACGGCCCCATCACGGCAAACGGCGCCCTCAAGACGGGCTTAGACGGCTCCAAGACGGCTCTTTGAGGAAGCCAACACGGCCCCACACCTTTCGGGCGAACACTTGGGGGGGGCTGGGAGCTTGCGACAAGTCTCCCACATTCATTGTCCTGCCCCACTCTGTTCGCCTGGAGGCCTCCTCCAACCCTGTGGGTGAACAAGAGGAAACCCAGCGGGCCGCCAACCCTGGGGCCCGTGGGCCCCGCGCCGCTTGGGCAGACGACGAACGCCGGGTCTGACGGGCCAGCTACCGCCCCCTTTTGCCCGATGTGCTGTGCCATTCTGTTCCCCCAGGGGCCTTGGCAAACTCTTCGGGCCAACCAAACCGGACCCCTGGGACAGCAGCCAATTGATATGACCCAGGCACCTCTCCGCATTCTTCGGACCACAGACCCTCTGGGCAAGCAGAATGGGACTTGGCGAACAAACCCTCCCGTTGGCGGCGATGCGACTGGATCGCACCATCAAGGCGTGCCTGGAGGTGATGGCCGACCCAGCAGCGGTTTCTGTTAAGATTTTACTGAATTTCAAATTTTCGTTAAGCTCTCTTGGGCCCTCCCTGTAGATCCTTGCGCTCCCCGGCGCTTTCGGTGGTTTTCCCCGATGGCCTCCCGAGCCCCTCCCCGGGCGCTCCTGAGACGCCTCAGCTGGGCTTCGACTTCGACGCACATCCCCGAGAGACTTCGAAACTGCCCTCAATAGGAGGGGGTTGAACGAGCAGCGCGCTGGGGCCAAGCTGCTGGAGCGCTGCAAGAGCTCGGACACGAAGACGCGGTCTCGCTGCCGCCACCCGAGCCGCCGCCGTGTCTGTAGATTTTCGGTACAATCTGCGCCGTTCCTCCGAGAACCATTCCAGAAAGATGTCGTGGACGGAGTCCACGGGTCAGCCCTAGTCAGCTACAATGCTGGGATCAGCGCGTGCGAGAAAGGCATGCAGTGGCAGCGAGCTCTGTCGCTGATCAGCGAGATGTGGGAGGCGAAGGTGGTGCCCGAAGCCATCAGCTTCAGCGCTGGGATCAGGGCTTGCGATAGAGCCGGGCAAGGACTACAAGCGATTTGGTGGCTCACTGCGACGCGGGATGCAAAGCTTGAGTCCAACGTCGCGAGCTTCAGTGATGCACTCGTTCTTGCGATACGCAAGTAAATATCGAGCAGCTCCACTTGCAATCCTGGAACCAATGCGTGCGAAAACGGCAAGTCACTGCAGTAGGCCTTGACATTGTTCAGGCGATCGGGGAAATCGAAGATGGACGATGGAGGCCAATGTGATCAGCTACGACGCTGGAACCAGCGCGTGCGAGAATGGCAGGCAGCGACACCAGGCTCCGTCGCTGTTCGGAGAGGGGGATGCGAAAATAGAGCCTACATCGTCGGCCACACCCCTGGAGTCAGAGAGTTCGAGAGTGCTGGCCGCCTTCACAACATATCGGTCGTCCTCGGGAAGGTGTGCTCTGTCTGTGGCCAGGACGTGCGAGCAAGACTGGCAGAGCAAACAGGCGATGTCGCTGTCCGACGAGCGTTGGGATCAGAGCGTGGGATCAGAGCGTGGGATAAGAGCATGCAGTGGCAGCGGGCTTTGAAACTGTCGGGCAAGATGTCGGAAGCGAAGCTGGAATCCAATGTTATCAGCTACAACGGTATAGTCAGCGCGTGCGAAGAAGGCGAGTGGCAGCTGGCTTGGGCGCTGCCAGGAGCCCAACGTCGCAACTTGCAGCGTTGGGACCAGCGCGCGCGAGAAGGGCGGGCAGTGGCAGTGGGCTCCAGCGCTGCCCCGCGAGAGGTGAGAGGCGAGGCTGAAGACCAACGTCATCCATCTATTCTGAGGCGGGTGTCAGCGCGTGCGGGAACGCTGGGCGCCAGAGCACGCAATTAGCTCAAAATCGCCGGCTGGACGCCCTCGAAAGAAAGGAGGAAGGAGAGCAGCAGCAGCACGAGGAAGAGGGGTATTGATGCTACTAGCTGCACCGAATCCCGAGGAAAACGATCGGCGCAACGGCCGCAAAAAGAGAACCTAATCCTCCTCTTTTGGGGGGGGTGCTCAAAGAGTGCGGCCTCCGCACAAACTCCCTTGAGCCACGAGGCAGGCTCAACTACCGCAGTCGGGGAGGCAGATCCGCGAGGGGAGGCCACAGCAAAATCAAGGAGCTGGAGGGGGGCCGAAGGAACCCACGAAAGTTGCGACGGTTGCGCAGCTGGTGGCCTTCCAGGGAGACGCGATGTCTCCACCGGGTGTGCGCGTCCCCTCACTCCGCTTGGCTTCCAGGAGCCCACGGTGACGTCAGCTGCGCAGTTGGCAGCCCCCCAGGAAGCAGCGAGGTCTCGACTAGATGCGCGCGTCCCCCACTCCGCTGGACCTCCCAGGAGCCCGTGAAAGTAGCGACCGTTGATCAGTTGGCAGCCCCCCAGTAGGAAAAGTAGGAGGTAGGAGGAGGGAGGCATGGAGGAAGAGGAGGAGGGGGAGGGGTGGATGAGAGGGAGGAGGGGAAGAAGGAGGAGACCCACAATCAGCTCTCTACCCAAAACGAGAACCCACTGCAGGAGGGAATGGAACTGGAACGCTCCAGCTCCTCATAATTCCCTGGAAGACCCCAGGAAGCCTGCCGAGGCCTCTGGATGCCCACAAAGAGCCGCGAACGTCCAAAACCTGTATCCTCGAACCTCGAATTCACCCTTCCTATTTCATTCCCTCTGAGGTGAATTCGTAGTTGGAGGAACCGGAGGATGAGCGGACGGCGTAGGAGTAGAAAGAAGGGGGGTGGCAATGACGAGGAAGGAATAGAACTCAGCTATGTCGCCCGCGTTGGGGCGAGACCCCCATCTTGAACGATTGGAGCAAAGCGCCGATCCTGAAATGCTACCAACGCTCAAGCGGTGGCATTATTCACCAAGGACCGACAGCGTTCCGATCGACAATCCAAGATCGAATACCGTATCATGTAAGTTTGTGGGTGAGCGAAATAAAGAGGCAGCGGTACCGCTACACATGATGAGGGGAAAGAGGAGAGTAGCACCCATATGAATCAAGTGTAGAAGAGAGCAAGGGAAAGAGACAGACACGGGTGTCATAGAGAGCTTTGATCCCACGATGGCCGTTGCAGAATTTGATCCATCCTTCGTTGCGCAGTAGGAATGGGGGGCGTTATGTATTGGAAGAGCAGGAAGCGGATGAGCAGGAGGAGGAGGTTTCGACGACGACGAGGATGAGGAGGAAGGAGCAGGAGCAGGAGGACCAGCGGAAGGCGGAAAATAGGCCAGGAGAGAGACAGCAACGACGAGGAACATGTCGGATCCAGAAGTTTGGCCACCGTTGGGCGAGAGCGCCAGCGCGGGCCAGTTGGGCCAACGTTGCAAAGGGACCATGACGTTGATAGGACCGAAGACGCTTCGATTCGAAAAGCACATGGAAAGCAATAGCTGGCAAGTCGGCGTGTGAAAAATACGCGGCAAAGGCCAGATCCCCGCTGGACAATGTCAGGGGAGAGAGAATGCGGAGCAGAAGGAGGAGGAGGAGGAGGAGGAGCCCTTCCACATACATAACAAAGTATCAGAGGAGAGGGGAGATTGTTATCCATGGTCTGTAACTGTAGGAAGGCGCATTAGGGGCGATACCGTACATGGACATTAGATTCGAACCCTGTGGCCCAAGATGCCCCCCAGACCCCCCGAGATTAATATTGATGGCGTGGCGACGGGGGGGGAGTGAGTGGACAGAAATATTCGAACCCAAAAGCACCGCCTTTACTGAGATCAACATTGATGTCGGGTGTGCGGGGGTGATTTAGAATCTCCCTCGAATGTGTAAGGGTTCGAATATATTGTCCATCTACTGTAGCGTCATACTTGCCATCCTACCTCATTCGCACCAATACCTTCCCATTGTGCCGAACTCTCTTGTATCCGACGAGTGCGGTGTCGACCTTGATCACCAAAATGGCCGCATCGTGTGATGTACAAGAAGACAGGCGGCGTGGCACATTGGACGAGAAGGAAGAGGTAAGGGGGGGCTCGTACATTGGAGATGGGAGGAGGAAGAGGAGGAGGATCAACAGCAACGAGAGAAGGAGGACTAGCAGGATCAGCGGGAGGCGAAGGAGGTGCCAGGAAGGAGACGGCAAAATATTACCCGCGCTGCGGCGAGAGCGCCGTTCTGAACGACGGGAGCACAGCGCCGATCCTGAAATGCGGCCACCGCTGCAGCGGGGGCACTATTTTTGAAAAGACCAAGACTGAAGAAATAGGAATTACCAATTAATGAAGCTTTGTGTGAAAAAAGGAACACGCGGAAGAGCTGGGAGCACGCTGGCGCAAGATCACAGGAGAAAGGAGAGTAGTATTCAGAGTGTGAAATTTTGCAGTGGCGAGAGTCCTTCCCACTCCTCTCCCTCCCTCCTCGCCTGCGGGCTGGATTGTTTAATGGCTTCACTCCCTGGCAGCCTTCTCGCAGAGGAGCTTTGAGGACTGCCGGACCCCGGCTACGCGTAAGAATGACCCTTCGCCGGAGCGACTCTTGGGTGCGAGGTGCGTGCCCGCAGGAGGTCGCTCAGCGCTGGCTTGTGCGCTTGGACTTGGCCCCCGCGCGGCCCCCTGAAGCCGCGAACCAAAGGTCAAACCTGCATGTAGCCGATGCCCGACCTGACCTTCGACAGATTCGCGCCGCGTCGACGCGGCGGCGAACGCGGCGGCGACTCCTGCACGGGCGTTCAAAGATTGAATGCCGCAGATAGCCTGGAATCGGTCGACATCAACAGATCCACGCTATCAGAAAACCGCGATCGTGCAGGGTTGAGCGAGCCGCGCGGTGTCAGAAACCAACGCGCCAGTCGTCACAACACGAACCTGCCGTATGCTAGGTCACCCGCCCCGGGCAGTGGGACCACCCCACGCTTCGCGTTTTCCCTTCCTGGGCCAGGGAGCTGCACTTCTCGAATCTCGGGGGAGCGGCGCGACTTCGGCATCGGCAGCGATGCTCTGCGCGTCACTGTCGGCACCGCAGGCCAGGGCCCATTTTGACCGATTTGGTATCGAGCCTGGCCGGCTCCGTTCAATTCCGGCATGCCGACGGCACGAATTTACCGCAACTTTCATTAGGACGTCCTCCCCTTGGCCGCTCTGCCTCGGACGCCAGATTGCCGAAGCCGAGCGGGGTGATTGAAAAAGAGCAGGAGCGTGAGGCACCGTGCTGGCAGTCCAGGGGACAACAAAAGCATTCCGCGGAGGAGGGAGGGAGGGAGGGAGGGAGGGAGGGAGGGAGGGAGGGAGGGAGGAGGGAGGAGGGAGGAGGAGGAGGAGGAAGAGGAGGAGGAGGAGGAGGAGGAGGAAGAAGGAGAAGAGGAGGAGGAGGGGGAGGAGGAGGAGGTGAGAGGAGGCGGGAGGAGGAGGAGGAGGAGGAGGAGGAGGAGGAGGAGGGCATCTTCGCGCGGCCGCCGAGCCTGGCGGAGGCGGCCGTCGGCGCAGTCCCAGCTCGCCGACGATGCGCGCGCCGTGGGCGAGGGGCCGCGCGCTCGGCCGCACGCTGGGCTGGCCCTCCGTGCCGACCGAGGCCGAGCGGGCCTGCCGCCGCCGCCGGGGCACGCGCAGCAGCAGCCGCCGCCCTGGTGGCCGGGCCACGCGCCGCCGGCGTGGGGCGCCGCCCCCGCCCGGGGCAGGAGAGGGGGAAGGAGGAAGAGGAAGAGGAGGACCAGAGTCAGCCCAGGATGCGCCCACGACGCTGCATACCATCCCAGCCCAAGTCCCACCCTCAGACGACCCGAGGGCTTGCTAGTCAGGCGAGAGTCACGTCTTGAAAAAGAACGTCCTAATTCTAGCTTCGTTCAACGGATATTCGGACCATTAATTTCAAGAAAGTGTCCAGCGAGAGCCCCGTCTTGAAGTGTAATTGCTGTGCCGGTTCACACAGATATCCATCATTGTTAAGCACGTCCCGTGCGAAAGCCCCATTGTGAAAAGGAGCCTCAAGTGCTCAAGTGCGTTAATGCGAGAGCCACACTTTGAATACCACCCGCCCCCCATCCTCGCAACTGCTGCAAACGCATAGAGCGAAGGAGCTCCGCGTTACGGTGAGGGCCACGTGTTGAAAATCGTCACGCCTGGAAGCGTTTCGGGCGAGAGCGCGCGCGGCGCGAAGGTGAAAGCCACAGCTTTTGAAAACCACTCGTCCTCTTTTTTGTAGCTCCTGCAAAGCTCAAGCTCCATGGTCATAGCGTTGGAGGGTGCAGACGAAACGCCCGACCAGCACGACTGGTGGTGTGACTAGGAGGAGTTATCTGTATGGACAAGGAGCGGAGGAGGACCTTATCGGGCGGGGCTAGGACGAGGATAAATCCGTTTCAGAGCCTTCTGGAACGCTCTCAGAGCCTTCTGGGACGCTCTGAGAAAGCCCGAGACATCCTCCAGAGCCGTCCGATCTCAGAGGTTCTCGATTCATCCTCACCCGATGTTACCCTTATCTTGGCTTCGTCTTACTTCAGATCTGGGCGTCGCCAGGAAATTGCGACCAGCAGCTTGCTAGCGTTTTCAGCTTCTGCAAACCGCTCCCAGGCCCCAGGACCGTCAAGAGACGATGTTTCCCCAATTAGGCTTG